TAAATAATTCTTCGTGATTTTACATGTTCTTATTGTAGGCTGTCTTTCGAGTTACTAGTTGTTATAATGATCTTCATAGTGAACTTATCAAAACATTTTATTGCATGACTTTAGATCCTCCATATTCTAGTAACAATTTCATAGAGAGTCAATAACTGATGTGTTCAAGTCTTTCGTTTTACTTACATAATCATGTAAGTTCTGCATGTAAATAATACATCTGACTATGACCATATTTCTGGTCTAAAAGTGATCTGATTGAATATTTCAAAAAGACACTAACACTGAACTATTAAACAGAAATCAATCGATCCTTCAGTTATCTTTAAAAGCTTATAGTCAAACTCTCCAATAAAATCCAAATAATTCAAACATTTCAAATATAAACATACTGTGATAATGATTATTAAAAAATTGAAAACTGTCCTAAAAAATAAATCTGATCAAAACTGCCCCCAAGAGGTTTAGGCCTCGATTTTATGGCTTATATTTTTCATTCCATATTGAGTTACATAGATAAATTGACATTTCAGTTATACAGTTAAAGTTGAGATTAATTTACATTGTTCGAACACAAAAGTCTACTTAATCAGTTCAACAGAGGCGGCGATTTTGCACAAAACTAATGACGGCTGTCAGGACTCAGTAGATAACACGATGGCATTTGAAGTGAACGGTACTGGGTTCGAGTCGCAGAGGGAATATCCATTTTGTGATGCTGGTGCATCCAGCTGATGTGTTCTGATTTCCACCACCAGCCACCATCTATCTTTGCTCATAAAGCTTTTGACTTAAGGCAATATCGAAGCAATCCACACAGGATGCAATTGTGAAGCTGATTTTGTTTCATGAATAAAGTTCCGCTGAATATATTTACTTACTTTATTATGCATTTGCTATTCACCTGTTACTTTACTCTAAATATCTCAACATTTTAACAGAATTCAATGATTTATCGAGTTGAACAAGTCAAGAGTGAGGATAATGACAAATAACGATAATCGATCGTTAATATCACAGACTGATCCTAGCGAAATAGCTATTGAAAACTAACAAGTGTTGGACAGCTGATTCATTATAGCATAAAGCTCAGCAGAGAACACTGGCAACTTCTGAGGACCTTCAGGTCTCACCATGAGCACTTGACCTTGAGTGCAGGGTGCTATCATCCACTTGTTTGATTGTTTGACTTCAATCAGCTCTCTGTACTTCGAAACCGTCTGACATTTGAGATGGCTAGACTTCATTGATAACAGCTTTTCGAATCGTAGATGCGCACTGCTGAGGAGTCCCACAGTAGGACGAAACGGCCGTCCGATGCTTCCAGGTTTTAAATAGTGATCTAACAACAATCGACTCATGATCCCAATCAAAAACTTAATAATCTCCACAACCCTATACTAATAATTACCATGTGCTCATTAGTGACTAGATTCGTGGGGTAATTCTCGGATTTCTAGTGGGAATCCGTGATCAGTGGAGCTAATCTACGTCAGGTAGATACCGGTGTCTTCCTCAGTACAATGGAAGATGGTCGCTCAATTTCGTGGATTGATTGAGGTTAGACATTAACATTGTTGGATGCCTGCTCAATGGTCTAGAGTTTAAACGTTTGCGCGCGAGATCGAAGGCTCTGGGTTCGAATCTCGAGATGCAGGATTGTGGATACACACTGCTGAGAACTCCCACAATAAGGCGAAACGGTCATCCACTACTCTCAGGTTTTTAATGATGGTCAGACATCAATTGGCTCATAATCTCAATCCAAAAAGCTAATTATTAGCTAAATTCACAGATTAATATGAAATGTTAGATGGGTTTTGTGGAGATTGTAGTAATTTCAATGGTTAAGATTATCAGTCACTTGAAGCTAGACCACCATGGAAAACCTGAAAGCACAGGACGGCCGTTTCGTCCTATTGTGGGACTCCTCAGAAGTCCGTATCCACGACCTCGCCCCCTGCGAGATTCCAGCTTAGGAACTACTGGTTTCGCGAGCGAGCACTTAACCACCAGATCACTGAGCCGGCATCCAACGGCGCTAATGTCTAACTTCAACTAATACACGAAATTGAGCGACACATCTACCACTGTCATCAGTGAGTCACTATCTCACAACAGACCTGGTTGGACTCCACTGGTCACAGCTTCTCACTAGAACTTCAGGATATACCTCGTGAAGCCAGTCACTAGTGAGCATATGTTGATTAATATGAAATGTTTTCATTTTATTACCTGAATGAGATAATTAATAAGTACGATGTTCAGGGTTAAAAGAAATTATTTAGTTAGCTTGCTTTAGAGATTATTTTTGTAAGTTATAACAGAGAAAACAGGTATTTATTCCCTTCTCTTATTTATAATGTTAGAAAGGTTATATTAATTATTTATCTATATTAAGTTAAAGAAAACAAAGGAATAATTTTTAACACAAATTGTTAGATAACTGTACAGATTATTAGTTTATTGTAATAATATATCTTTTACAACCCTCTGATACCATGTCCCAACAGGATTTAACCGGAAGTGTAGATAATTCTTCAAGTATAATTTAGTCGTATTTCATCATGAACCTTTGAATAAAAATCCACAAAACTCAAATATTTATTTACATTTCATACACAAATAGTTCCATTTATAGTTCGGTCAATATAATCATAAAATGATAACAATTTTAATTAATCCCATTTTGGAAACACTACTATACGATCTAGTTTCTTATGGTTCTTCTATGAATGCATATATTTATTAAATCACCATAAACACAACTATACAGCTTCGGTAAATAATATCGTGGAATAAAGTTTTCTGAGCAGAATTGCCTTTGTTCTTTATTAAACGAAACAACAGATATTTTTCATTAATTACTTCTATCGCGATTGATCTACTATCAGTGAAAGTAGGATATTCACTTCGATTATCTACACGTTGTTTTAGATATAGCAACCTCTTAAATGATATTCATCAGATAGACATAGTTATACCAAGCTCATGAGTTATTATTTGGTGATTTATATATACGAATATCTATACAAAACTTAACATTCTCTGTTGCATTTCGCCTAATGAAAGATTCTATGTTCGTGTATTTTTTTTCATTGAACGTTGAGGTTTCTTGGACTGATGAAGACAGTGAAATTTGATCTTCGCAAGAAGATAAGTATCAAAAAACAAGATAAAATGACGTTATTAGATAATATTCAGTAGTCAGTCAGTGTTTTCTTTAGAAATAATTATCGTAGGAACTAAAAATATGAAGATTTATCTATGTCATTAAAACAGACCAACTAATAAAGTACAATATCACCAAAGCAAAATCGAAACTGGACTTAATCATAAAATGATGGTTGTAGATAGTCAACAGGAAACCCTGGACCCAGATTTCGTGCTATTTCGCACATGTCAACAAGGTGTACCTGTAATCATAAGGATTTGACACATATGACATTGATCACCACCCAGTAATTAATCAATTGTGGATTTAATCATGTAGTACATAGAAAAAACTGTTTCAAATCTTTTATATATGTTATTTCCAAGTAGAAATATATAATGAAGAATTTATACGATGATTCAGTGCATTATTTGAATTCATTCAATCTTTATATAATTTCATAATTCTTATATTTCCACAAATTATATTTGACTAAACAAAATAGATTGTTTGCTTGGAATTCTGATAAATCTTGGTATTTTTGCCGGATGATTAGACAAAAGTAGATATAATCAATTGATAGAACTTTTAGAGTTAGTTCACTCTATACTACTGTAGGATCATTATTCAAAAATACAACAATACTAAAATGAAATCCTTAAAAACAAAACATACCGCAGAACTATAGTAATAAAGGTGAAATTTTAAGAAAATGTATACATTTATGCTGGTAAGGCTGTTAATTCTATCTTATTTAGAATGTTAATACAATTGACACTGTAGTGTCGGTTATTATGTTAAGCCCATATACCTTATTTTAGCTTTCAGACAGGTCAATCTAATTATTCTACTTAAGTCATATTTTGACCTTGCTAATTATTCGCTTATCAATCTTGACTGTTTTTATATGACCGCATATGTGAGTGCCCTTCTTATCCCATTCATCACACGTCTGTAACCTATTTTTGTGTAACTATAAATATTGATTAACGCTTGATTAAATGGAGTTGGCTTATGTGCCTTCTCCACTCTGCGTCGTTTCGCTTCTCTCTCTTCCATTCGCTTCATATACGGAATATATGTATTCGAAAGTCCATTCTCGTTATTTGACTTATTTAGTCCTGTTATTGACTAACGCGAATTATGTCGATGATTATATACGAGGATAGGCTATGACAAACAATCATACTATGTAATTGGAATCAGATCCCGGGCCACTAAAACACCAATCTACAATACAAATAACTTACAAAAACGAACATATTTCACTTTGTGACTTTAAAACACAATCATTTCATATAGTTAACTCATAAATCTTTTATTGTATCAACCTTAAAGACAAACACAGATCATTTTTATTTAAATAAGGACAAATAAACAGATAATTTGATATACTATAATTAAGATATTACAGCAAATGGAAATATATAACCTTTCATTATCTCTTGTATTCTTTTCTCTCCATTTTCTTTGCCATTCGGATTGCTTGTGTGAAGAAGTAAAGAAGTCATATTCTGATAAGATAGTTTTGATTTGTGAGTAAACAGATTCATACACACGCACACACACACATACACAAACGAATATACACGTTGAAAACGTTTTAATAATCAAGTAAATAAATTAAGTTGTACTTATTAAGTCAATATTTTCGTTGGTTATCATATTTTGTATTTCCTATCTTTATTCAGTAAAAATAATGATAAAAATAAGTAAAACACTATTATTTACTCATTATTTCTTCGTTGTTTTTCTCTTTTTATTTCTTTTTTTCATGTATCTATGTCAATCTATATACAAATTGGATATAAAAACAAAATCTCAATGAATTGAAAACAAAATTAAGATTGAAAATTACCTGGAATTCAATTACAATCTTATTTATCAAAATTATCATAATAAAATTTCCCATATTAATTATGATTACCATGATATTTTTCAAATAATCTACCAGTTATATAGTCAAAATAAATCATTCAATTTTAGTTATATAATTTCAATGAATTATCAAGATAAGAATATGTTTGTTAACAATGCTGATTTGTTAGATATTAAGTCAGTAATAGGTTCCAATGAACACAGTGAGTAATTTATATATATGTATATATTTGCTCATAAAGCTTGTGACTTAAAGCAATATCGAGTCAATCCACAAAGGATTCACACATACCAACAACAGACTTATCAATTACAGTACTAAACAACATTGGAAAGATACAAGCAAACAACATCAAGTGAATTGAAAACTTTACGCAATTGCACAAACGAGTGTCTTTCAGGACTCTGTAGTCAAGTTGATAACACGATGGTGTTTGAAGCGAATGGTATTGGGTTCGAGTCCCAGAGTGATCATCAATTCTGTGGTTCAGGCGTATCCATCTGACATGTCCCAAATAAGACGAAATGTACGTCCTGATTTCCGTTACTAGCCACTATCCATCCTTGCTTATAAAGCTTGTGTCTTGAAGTAATATCAAGTCAATCCACACAGGATTCATATACGCCAACAAGAGACTGATCAAATCAAGTTCTAAATAACATTGGGAAGATACAAGCAAACATCATCAAGTGAATATATATATATATATATATATATATATATATATATATATATTCGAATTTTGTTACCATACTACATTAATTACCCATAAACTGAATACTTCTGCTGTACTGTCTATTGAAAATAAACAAGGATTCCAGGCACAAATCTAACTCACATATATGACACAGAATCATAATGTAAAATTAATTCCCAATTACTTAATAATGTACAAGAAAAAAAGAATGTAATGTGTATCTGTTTTTCTTTTTAGAGAGCCGATAATATATCATAAAGAAAACTGTTTATGTATAATAGTACTAGAAGAAATATAATATAAAATGGAAACCCAGTAAAATGAAAACAAGCATTGAATATCTATTTTGTTTATAATTATTCAATTACTAATTCTATCATGTCACCTATCTAATCACAATTAATCAATCATTTTATATATAAATTAGGTTACAATTGCCAAATGTCAATATTATTTTATTATCCATAAGATCATTCATTATGGAACAACATAATTGTTGCCTAAACTTACAAATTCTAATTATAAAAATTAATTATGATAAAATAAATCAGTGATAATACACCATGAGAAATTAATTTCATTATTAGTTATATTTCTTAATGATAGTGATAATTTATAATTAAAGATGTCATAATCAATAAATGAATGATTGTTTTTTCTTGAGATTACATTGAATTATGTAAAGAAAAATTCAACTTGACTAGATTTCTTCCTGTTGTTGTGTCAGTTACTATGTTAAGCCTATATAATTTATTCTAGATTCCAGGCAGGCTGATCTATTCATCCTTCTTGAGTCATGTTTTGACTCACATATATGGGAGTATGTGTGTGTGTGTGCACTTCTAATCCTACTCATCACATGTCTATAGCTTATTTTTTTGTGACTATAAATAATGATGAACGCTAGGTTAAATCGAGTTGGTTTACGTGCCTTCTTTACTGCGTATCATCTTGCTTCGCTATTTTCGCTTCGTTTCTTCAATCATTTGTCTGGATCAACGATTATATGAATATACGTGTATTCGTATTTCATTCTCGTATTTGACTTATTTGATTCTGTTATTCACGAATGTCATTTAAGCCGATAATTTTATACGAAAATTGACGATATGTATATTTTAACAACATTCACTCATACGTTTAAATTCATTTGGTGTTGTTTGCTTGTATCTTCCCAATGTTATTTAGAACTTGATTTGATCAGTCTCTTGTTGGCATATGTGAACCCTGTGTGGATTGACTCGATATTGTCTTAAGACACAAGCTTTATGAGCAAAAATCGATGGTGTCCACCAGTGAGATCCAGTTTGATGCGCGTTTCGTTCTATTTGGGACATGTCAGATGAATGTACCTGCATCACAGAATTGATGATCACTCTGGGACTCGAACCCAATACCATTCGCTTCAAACACCATCGTGTTATCAACTTAACTACAGAGTCCTGAAAGACACTCGTTTGTGCAATTGAGTATAGTTTTCAATTCACTTGATGTTGTTTTCTTGTATCCTACCATTGTTGTTTGGGACTGTAATTGATATATGTGAATCCTGTGATGATAGCCTCGTTATTGCCCTAAGTCAAAAGCTTTTTTAATTAAAGTAAGATATAAGGCCACAAAACTCGATTGAAAATCAATTTAATTCATCATTTGTAATTTTCTTATTCTGTTAGTTTTTCTTCTTCTTTTTTCCTCTTTTTTTCTTCTTCTTCCTCTTTTTTTTCAGTACATTAATTATTCATTTTATATTAAAATTCATAATGAAGTTTTTTTAACTTAAAAATTAGAAAAATTGTCAAGTAATCTATTATTGTTCTATTCACAATAATAAGACAATTTGCTTAATATAAACTCAAATTAATTATTGATAGTATGACCTGAATAAAAATTTAAAAAAACTTTAGTAGTTCATGAATCAATTAAAGGTAGACTACTATGAAAAACCTGAAAACACAACGACCATTTTCTATGGTGATTAACTCATGAATTTAACTAATATATCGCTAAAATCTACATAAAACCCCTTTCTGATAAGAAAAAAGTAAGATTAACTGAATTATGATATGTTTTTTTTTCTGTGTAATGCTCATTTTATAACAAGATTAAAAATCCTTTCAAAAAGAAAAAAAAGACAGAAAAAAATGAGAGTTCCCATCATGATGAAGTTTTTTTCTCTGAGCTGGATGGTTTGGTCGTGGAGCTTTCATCGTTCTTCTGAACGACATCATCAGCACAAACTTCAGATAGAACTGAAGCGTTCGAATTTCTCCATATGTGGTTCACACCTTGTCCTGTAGACTTCGATGTTGATTGGTTCTTGTTGACCTTAAACTTGTCATTGTTTACTTCTTTGTTTTGGTTATATCTCCCATTGGCTTGATTTTTGTTCCTATGTTTATGAATAATTTTCCAACCACTCCATCAAATCCCCCACACAATTCTTGGATCAAATTAAGAACATTCAAATCAACAACGATGAGCTGATGATATCCTTCGATGTAACAGCGTTATTAACCTCAATTGAACCAAGGTTAGCAATGGAAACTATATCCCTTCTTCTCACCAACGACACAAATCTCACAAAGCACACGAAGATTCAAATTCAAAGTCTACTAGAACTCATCGATTTATGCCTAACAACATATGGTCAATTCAACAAAAAAATCTACGAACAAACGAAAGGGACACTGATGGGGTCACCTATATCAGGACTGATCGCAGAAGCAGTGATGCAGAGACCTGAGGTTACAGTGAACTGAAAAAAGAAAAATCTTGCTATAGATGGTAACCTTAAAACTAGTCATATGTAGTAAAACCGGAGTCTATTTCATCGAATATATTGTGGAACACTAAGAGCTACACTGTGATGTATGAAAAAATTTTATTATTTGTAATTGCAGACGTATTTTTGTTACAATAATGAAATTTATGTATTAAACTCATAAGTTTACTGATGTTTAACTGTATTTAAATATAGAAACATGCCTGTACGCCATGTATAATTTTAGAAACCCTTTGAAATATCATGACATGTTATAAATCGTAATTTTGGGTTTAAACTTTCGAAGAATAACTAATCCATATTTTAGCCACTATTTATGACAAATATTTTATATGTAGACTGAAGAAACAAATTGATTGTAAAAGCTTTTAAATTATAGTCTTTACCATTTGACAAGAACAGTCATTGTTTGGATCCATTCAATAAAACGTTTACACTAATCTTAATAAAACTAAATAGAGTTTGTATTAACATAAACTGAAACATGTGAATCTATGATGTGTACTAGATAATTAAATATATTTGATTCACAGATACAATACTGCAAATCAAATTAACCAAGAATTATGGCGCCATGTTACAAGTAATCAGTCATCATCAGTCAATCAATCAAAGTAATTTGAATGGTCGTTTAATAGTACACTTAGATCATTCAAACATTCTTCATTTATTTTCGTACTGGAGACCAGAAATAAGTGAAGATTTATCAGTGAGTATGTGTAAAATTCTTTTTGATTTATGCAAATGTCTAGTTTATAGGATGAAGATAATGAATGATGAATGCGATTATCATCATTTTAGTTCATTTAAATTTAATTGATGAGTAACAAACCAAATTGTATCTTTAAGTCTGGCTAGTTATCACGCAATTCATTCGCTAATCAAAATACGATTTAAACGTTCTTGTAGTGTACTAAACCAATGACGTTCGTTCGGTCTAATCAGCCTAGCGTCTTATTGGTCCATTGCTCACCTAGCCCGTCCAGATGAGTCCAGAGTGCTAATAACAGCCTCCACTAGACGAATCATTTATTCTAAACATAATGTTTATATATCAACCAAACGGCCCGCAACGCACCGTAAAATAGAAAATAACATTTATACGCAATAAAGCCAAAATGTGGCTGTGAACGTGTAACTTAAGAACAGTAAATCGTACAATAATAATCTATAGGTCAAAATAAAGCTTATAATAAGGGGAATATAGGTATACATAATCTTATTACTGAGTAGCTATACCGTAATAATATATAGATAATATTTGTCCATTAATAGGTCTCAGAAGTTACTCGTAATTTAATCTTTGCTATGACATAACAAAATTACGTTACTTAACATCTTTGCAAACTCCGACACTACTATTATTATACAGGAGCGACAAAAAGTTGACATGGGATTAACAAATAGCATATTTTTGAAAACAACTGTCGATAGACCTATATAGTAACAAAAATTAACGTTTAACATAGAATATATGTACATATAACCAATAAATTAATTAATATATATTTTTAGCATCTTAACAAGAATGAAATTGTCTTATATGAATAATTAAAACAATTGGTTTTCAGTAATCTAATTCAAAACTTCTTTACTTCACACTTCCTTCATCTGATACATTATAATATTTAAAAATTGAATTTAAGTATATATATCATTAATTCCATAGTCTTCGTAAAATAAAACTCATTTTCAAGTCTACTTTATTCTAATTTCAATTAAATTGTTAAATAGCATGTTTAGAATCCAACATAAATTAAGGATTATGTAAAATGATATTATAAACAGTAAGTTATGTTGTAGTGAACAAGAACACCGGTGGGAACAATCGAATGTATTCAACACAGAATTAAAGGAATTGTTAATAATATCCAACAATCAAATAGTAAACACGTAATTTGCAAAATGTCCATCAGTTGCCACTTAATGACTCAGACTTCATTGTCCTTGCATTTTCATACAAATTGCATTCTGTTCCCATTCTTTACTGTTCGATCCTCTTGTCTCTCTGATGCCAGACCTTCTGTTCACGAGTAACGTTATATACTACTTATGTCAATATAAGTAGCACACACCACAATATATGAACTAATGAATGCATATATGAAATTTTATTAACATTTTCATCTATGTTATCATTGTTTATGATTGGTAAGTTTTATAATTAGTTTAATAGGATAACTTTTCTTCAAAAAAATCAATATGAACATAATTATCTGTTTCTATATTTAAAGAGGAAAAAAATGTTATCTAATCACTCTTTCCTCCTTTTTTTTCTTTCAATATTTTTCTTATATCAAGTTATCTATGAATGGATTACCTAAACAAATCAATTCTATAATTCAATTTAGTTTTTCTAAAATATATCAATATGGACAACAATTCATTATTATGTTTACAAATAATTCGATGAATTCTATAGATCAAATACAATTTAATCAATTTATTAATATAATTTATTCTGATTTAGAATATACTACTTATTTACTTATATATTGGATAAATAATGAATCTGTTTTTATTGAATCAATCAATATTCCAATAATTAAAAATATATTATCAATGAATTTAAATATAACAAAATTAAATTTTTTGGAAAAATGGCATGGATACAATAAAATGTTCAATAATTTAATTCAATCTAAATTCAATTTAATAAAATATTTTGATAACATTTATAAACATTTAATGGTAAGTTAATATAATATAGTACAATGTCAATATCTTTCATTTAATGTGTGTTTTTTTGCTTTTGTTGGTGTTGCTCTTGTTGTTGTTGTTGCTTGAGATCATGAATTGATTCATGTTAAATAATCATCATTGAGATTCTAAATCAAAAATTTAATGATCTCCATAATTCCATAGTGATAATTTAATTTCGTATTATGCAATGAGAAGATGAATTTTATCAGTATTATGTATTATATTTACGCAATACATTTCGAACAATCTAACCACATGTAGTATACTTGTTAAGACATTTTTGTATGAAAATTAAAAAATCAACTAGATAGAATAAAGGTAAGCTGTAAGGAAGAAGGAAAATAAAGTACACAAAAAAAATGTGATAACCGCTCTAGATAATAAATCAGTATTACCAGGGTAGGTTAAGGTTAAGGACAAATTGTTTTTGAACACATAAAGGAGGTTTCACTTTCCGTATAGCCAAGGCTTCAATAAACCCTAGTATATGTCCTTGAAGGCTTTTGTACAACACTACAAATGCTGACTTGATAGGTCCTGGCTTCGAATCTCGCGGGGGGCCGGATCTTGGAGTGCCACAATAGGACGAAACGGCCGTCCAGGGCTTCCAGGTTTTCCATAGTTGTCTACCTTCAACTGACTCATGATTTCAACTATTGAAATTACTAAAATCTTCACAAATCCCCTTCTGGTAAATCTTATGATCAGTCTTAATCAAATGTTTCGCAATAAAGGAAAATACCAGTCTATCCTGTGATCTTACTTGACCATGGGAATTCATTTGTTTATGTTTAATTGAATTGTTCGGTTACTATATACCGTATTTTTATAATGGTGAATATGTATTTCAGACTGTCATTTGTGACAAAAATGATTAACACTTATCTTGGAGTAATCCTAATATAATTTAATTTAATTTCAATCATAACAACTAACTATATAGAATTAATTTGTAGATGAACTAAATTTCTTGTCAGATATTGTGATTGATAGAAAGTAATTATGAGAAATGTATGTTGAATAAAACAAGACATGGTCAAAACACAAAATGAACATGCTATGATTTTGTCTAAGTTAGTAACAATAGGTTCACAGACAGAGCTTATATATATAAATTGCTCAGTCCCAAAATATCAATCAGAACAAACGAGAGAACATCCAAGTACTTTGTATTATTCTGTCTCATTCAAGCATGAAAAATACAAGATCGTGATGCAACATAGCTAATTAGTCTCAACTTCTACATCACTAAGACATATGTAGTACGAATCAAAGCAACACGTATATTATCAATGAACTATAATTTATGAACCTGAAAAGGGCATGGATATCGTCTAATACCGTCAGATAAACGTCTGCTATCAGAACAAGATAGAACATACCATAAACCAATCATTTAATCAATAAACATACGAAGTATGTATATTGATTATTCAGAGGATTTTCATGTTTTTAGATATTTAATCAATCTTGACAAAGTGATATTTAAATCCTCAGTGTTGTTCATCGTTACATTTTCAATAATACGTGAAATAAGTTTCCAAAAGTATTGGATTGATTGTTACGAAAAGACTAGACAATGTATCAATTACTTAACTATACCAATAATGTATAACAGAAATAACCGGGATTAAGAGTAATCTAGACATTAATTATTTGTGAATCGAAAGTGATTGGGAATTACTCAATATTTTGACTGAGCTAATACATTACAATTTTGTATTGATCAGTTGAAAGGGTGCTTTGAAATTAATGTTTATGGTTTTGACCATCTCAGTGATGTATTATCACAGTCAATAAAGCAATTGTGTTGCTTGTAAGAGTATTTCATTAGCTACCATGAAGCTATAAATTCTATATTTACCTACCATGTTATTCCAGATAGTCGTACATGGATACAATACAGCAAATTGTAAATAATATTAACAGTTTATTCTTATAAAACGTGGTGGTCATGACCATTTTGACAAACCTTTAACTGGCTCAGAAAGAAGGTTTAAAGTTCATTTTTGACCAACTTTAAACAATCAAATGTGTATTTCACTGATTCTTGGTAGACTTTTAACGAAAATATAAAATTACAATGCAAGAATACTCTAACGTTATTCTACTACAAGAAAGACTTAGTTTTATTTGAAGAAAATATGCATTCCGCATGAATATGATTGTTTTTCGCACAAAAAACAAATGTTTTGCGTTCAACATTTTATCAATTTTAACGTTAGCATCTATTTCTGTTGGCATATAATCAGTTAGTTCTTATCAAACACTATAGAAATAAGAATGTCTCGACACTAACGATTTCCCTATTCTATCTAATTAAAGACATTAGTCGTTTTTTAAACTAAAATTCAATGTTTTAAATGTTTTCATAGTTTAAGTCATGAACCGTTCTTAACTCGACCACCACTGAAGACCTGGAAGCACTAAACGGCCGTTTCGTTCTGGTGTAAGACTCGTCAACGGTGTGTAGCCATTACCTCACATCCGTGAATTGAACCTAGGACCTTCGCTTTGGTGTGAAAACGATTAACCTCTTGATCACTAAGCTGTAACCAAATGTTACATTGATGCGCAATCCTGATCTATTGCCTTCATACATTTATTTGAAAAACACACAATTTCATAAATATGACAGTTCAAACTATTGCTGTCAAGTATAATCTAGATTAGCTTACTCTTCTTCAGTTATTCATTATTATATAATCGGATAGAATAACATTTTTACTTATAACTTTTAGTTTAAAATTCCTGTTTCAATTATGCTAATAAATCATGAAATATACTTTATTAAAACAAAAATAATTTAGTTATAGTTTAGTTTTTATTTTGATAATCAAACAGAAATAGAAATCCTGTTTCATTTCAACTGGTACATGAATGAAATGAAGTAATGTCTACTTTTTATATGTGACAAACGATAGAAAATCAAAATAAGAAACAAGTGAAACGCGTTTATTGTTTGTTTATTTTTTATGTTATACAAATATATTTCGTTTTTATATTTTGTTTAGTGAAGTTTTGTGTAGATAGTAGAAGATTTGAATAAATCATTTCGTATGACAAAATATATAATAGAAGAAAGGATTAAAATTATTAACAGATAATTAGTTAATTTTAATAGTTGGGACCATGAGTCAATTGAAGGTAGACCACTATGGAAAACCTCGAAGCACTGAATGGCCATTTCTTCCTATTGTGGGACTCCTCAACAGTGCGCATCCACGATCCCGCCTCGCGAGATTGGGATTCAGGACACATCAGTCTTGCACGAGAGCTTTTAACCACTAGACCACTGAGCCGGCATCCAACGGCGCTAATATCTAATTTCAACTAATACACGAAATTGAGCGACACATCCACCATTGTCATCAGTGAGATAATATCTCACAACAGACCCCGTTTAACTCTACTGGTCACAGCTTCTCACTAAAACTCCAGGATATACCTCGTGAAGCCAGTCACTAGTGAGCATATGTTGATTAGTATCAGAAGGGGTTTTGTGGAGATTGTAGTAGTATAAGAAGTTGAGCTTATGAGTCAATTGAAGATAGACCACTATGGAAAACCTAGAAGCACTGGACGGCCGTTTCGTCCTATTGTGGGACTCCTCACCAGTGGGCATCCACGATCTAGTCTCGCGAGATTTCTTCATGGTGCTCTAGCTTTAATTCACTCATGATTTCAACTATTAAAGTTATTATATTATCCACAAAACCCCTTCTGATACTAATTAGTTAATTACTAAGATTATGTTTCAATAAATGACATAAACCACTTTACGATGTGATGGGCTAATTTTGTAAAACAGGAAAAGAATTTTCTTAACATTGCATAAAGGTTTCATTGTTTTCTGAATAGTAAACCAAAACAAGCTTCAGATAGAAATTAACTATTAAATTTTCACCACATGTAACTAACCTGGTTATTCTGTCTCATACACACGTACAAATGCCGATGAAGACAACTAGTGTAGCAGAAGCCTCTGCGTCAGTAGGCCTCAACGTACACAAGGGAAAAACAAGATCCTCAAGTACAACATAAAAAGCACTAACACAATCACACTTGGTGTAGTAACTCTGGAAGATCTGGAATCGTTCGCTTACCAGATAAGCATCTTCAATGAACGTGGAAGATCTGAATCAGACGTAAAGGCGAGGACCGCTAAAGTAAGGACCACATTCCTACAATTAGAGAATATATGAAACTCAAAACAATTGTTTGCAAACCAACAGCGGTGTCAGAATCTTTAATACGAACGTAAAAGCAGTTCTACTGTATGGAGCTGGAACGTGAAGAACTACCACAACCATCATCAAGAAGGTACAAGTATTTATAAATAGTTGTCTACCCAAGATACCCCGTTGACCGGATATCACCAGTAACAGCCTACTGTTAGAGATAGCAATTCATAATACAGCTGAAGAGGAAAAGATGCTGCAAATGAATAAGATATATGTTATGGAAATCGTCAAACTGCATCACGAGGCAAACGATTACAAGGAAAAGAGGGAGGCCAAAGAACAAACTACGTCGGGAGTCGGTAGCAGACGTGTAAAGGATGTAAAGCAACTAGAAAGAACTAGAAAAAATTTCCCAAGACAAAGTTCGATGTAGAATGTTAGTGGATGGTCTGTGCTACCTCACAAGGGTAACAGGATTAAGTAAGTAAGTAAGAACATGCAACTGACAGCTTGTTTTGCCAACAATGACTGGATGCTATCAACATCTGCCCGGTAACTAATTGTATATTTTTTTGACGGTCTTCCAACTTGGCCTGATTTTCGGTTTTATAGTTGTATATGATAATTTCTAATTAGTAAATGAATTGGATCGATTTCTATACGTTTATTGACTGCGTTTAGTCTGAATGCCAAGCTTCTGAAATTTCCCTAGTTTTATTTGTATTCCCTTTTTCAACTATTACATTTCCCAGTGAAATATCGAAATGTTTCACGATCAATGCAGAGAAATAGATAGTTTAGTGTCGAAGGGAACGTAAGATATTAGTGATTTTAATTGATTAAAAATTCTGAATCTGTTGAAAATCTCCTTAACATGAAAACAACCGACTACAGTACATTTTAGACATTTTAGAGTTCTACACATATCCAGTAGACATATCTTATTATTCATAATTTCACGAATATTGTACAAACAATATCAATAAAATACAAATTGAAGAATTTGAACATTGATTAGAATCAATATTGAATAAGTAAACTGATTAGACAACTGTGCTAGCGTTTTTTAATCACCAGAAAAATCTTAGTAATACTGACAAGATGTCTCGGTTCATCAACTGGCTGCCTTGAGAATTTTTTTAAAGATATAAAAGAGTACTCAAACTTTAGACAGAAAGAAAGAAAGAAGGAGAAATAGAAGATATGATGACTTTTTTTCTTCACTCAATTCAGAAAACTATAGTAGTCTTTAATATAGTGAGTAATTTAATAAAGAACGGAAAAATACCCATGAGGAATACGTTGACTGAATTACTCATTTGCCAGTAAAGCTAATAAGATGATAACTCTTTTGAATATTGTGAGGTTTGAATTCACAGGACATTTGTCTTACTTATTATACCTTGTTCAACTTGACTGTGAAACATTTTCGAAGTGTAAAAATACTTAGAAATACCAGCTAGATTTTCAAGAATCTTAGAGTGACGGGAGATATTGGTCACAGATGATATTTTGTGAAAGATTGCATGAATAATCAGATCGAATTAGGTAAATACATCGACATCAGACGGGAATATACAATTCCCTGTGATAAGGGTGTGCGCGAAAGAGTTATCAGAAAGATGTTAGACTATTTTCTTGGAATAGCACCCAAAAAGAATGTTCCCATTTAGACAAATTAAACTTCCCGTGGGGATGGAGATAGAAGACACAAAAGCCCGTATTTGAGTTTTATGAATGTTGACAGCCGTCAGCAAGGCATATTTGTAACTAAAGGACCAGACAAACACAGCGCTAACCATCATCCAGTGATCAGCCCATTGTAAATATCTTAGTCCTGCGAGAGGTTAGTAACAGACCAAACAGTCCAATGGTAGTCTCAGACAATAAAGCTGGGTGATGTTGGTTTTAATTCACCAAAAAATATTAACCCCTCGAAGATTACAGACTTACCTTTGTGATGAGTATCAATTATCAAGGAACTTAGGTTCGAGGTATTTCCCCAACTTATTTTGGCTAGGCATTTTTTTCATTACCACTTCCTTACTCACCTTTAATAAAATCATAAATGATATTTTTTTTCTTAAATGAAATACACTAATTTATATAATTTCAGATATATATAGAATCAAATATACAACATAATTCTTTCCAAAAATTAATAGACAATATTAATCCATTTCTTAATTATTTGGTGAATAAAACGATCGAGAAATCAGAAGATTTTTCCAAAGATTCAATTAAAGGTTTAAGTAAGTGTGAATATGATGTAACAATATAAAATACTATTGATAATATCTTCATGACTTTTTACTAATATAATTGAGTGTAACATATAAAAGGATTCATTCGAATTAAGAAGCAATCTGAAATAATAATAGTAATATAGGTTTTTACGCATTAATTTGTTTAGTTTTCCAAACAAAAGAAATCTACTGAACAGAATCATGTATTTATTAATTTATGATGATGCATTCATACTATTAAAATATCATTAATTTAAAGTAGTGAATAATAATGTTCAATTTGAGCTTATGATTTTCAGACTAATTCTACGTACTGAAGATGAAACTAACTTTATTCTGTTTTTTTTTCAGATTCTAATTGTTTTATAATCACGGTTTGTGACTCAAGTTGTCTAGTTTATTCTTTAGCAATCTTGATTGTAAATTAGTATTAACATTATAACTTAAGCTATGACCTAAGCAAAAAACGTATTTACGCATAAAGTTATGTAAATAATGATCTGAAAATACTTCTTTTTCAATAGTTATTCTGTGTTAGATAACCGGTGCAAAACACTTGAACCTAAAATTACGGATTCATAATGACAAATTAAACCGTTATTTGGCAAAACATGAATACCATACATTCAATAATTTATTTGTATAATGTCTATCGATCATCTCAGACTTTGTTGTTTCTTCGTTTCCATACCAATCAGTATCTGTTCCAATTCTCTTCTATTCGGTCTTCTCTACTTACTGCTGCCAGACATTTCACTTTCGATTGGTGGTAGATATGTTACTTACATCTGTCGACATAAGTACTACACACCACAGTATTACTTTAAAATAAAAAATAATGGTGTTAGACAAGATTGGGAAAAAAAGATGAGAGCATTTTATTCACTTGTTTTATTTCATTATTATTTTTTGATAATTTTTAAATTAGCTAAATCATCGTTTTAAAAATGGCATCATTTTATGCCATTTACATTTATTTTGTTTTTTTTCTGTTTTAAACAAGAAATAAGTTTCAATGCTTTTGATTCTTTTTGGTATTCTATGGTCGAAATCTACAATATATGGATAAAAATGCCATCAAAGATCAGTGAAAATATATACAATCTCCTTGTTAATGATGACAGAAATTCTGCGAAACTAGAAAATATTACAGTTTATTTAAAACAGGTGAATGAACGATTAAAAATCTCTGTGAGTATTTTAAATTGGCTAGTATTTCGATATAATTTGAATGTGTATCCCTTAATAATGTGTAATCCCTTACTAAACAACATAAACATAATATAAAGGTATGGATTTAAATAAACGATACCCTTCGTTCTCTATGTGTGAAAATCAGTGTTAATACAACGCTGAAACAGAAGAAACATAGCTGTATCTAGGATGTCGAATGTACTGATTGCATTATTGTTCTGATCAGTACGTATCGTCAGAATATGATATTAATTTTCAGTAGATGAATATAACACAGTTTTAAAGTTAATCGTGTTTTAATTCAAATATGTGACAATTTTTCCCAATACAATACTGAATAAAGTGAGAACATAATAGATATTAGTGAATATTTTATCCTTAAATCCTCGATATTATTTTAATGAAACCTTCTATACATTAGAACTACAAGCCTACTTTGCCGACGCGTACGCTTTTTGTATCAAAGCCATGTTCTCTGTAATTCATTTGTTTCACAGTATATATTTCGAAGTCACTGACAAAGGATATATAACTTCCGACATGAGAAGAATTGCAGTTTGCTACTGAAGTAACTTTTCCTACGTATATCTGATTATTTTCACTTGGGTATTCCCGATAAATGCAAGCACATTTGCATCAATGTCACATTATCCAGCAATTCTCTAGTTTTTACTGATGAGGAAACCATATAATAAACTACTCTGGTAATATTGACTTTCAACCTGAAATTAACAGTCCTGTTGTCTATATTTTCCTAACCGTCCTAATTGTTCTCTTCAACCAATTAGTCTTGTTTGGCTTTTCTTTTGTCATATAAATATCTTGACAAGTTGGTATGTGATCAGGTTGATTGAAATGTAATGGGCTAATATATCACTTAGTCCCGATCAATCAATTTTTTTCATTTCATTGTCAAACTGGATCACAGCAATCCACTCGTGGTGTAGGTACTGGCCTAATTAACTCAATATTTCAGTGCCGAGTCTTTGATACTTGGTGGTAATATTTCTGAGACATGCAATAATATGAGACCCTATCATATGGAGACCATTAATTCCAAAATGATTGCAGATAACCCTCTCTGAAGCATGCTTTTATGTACTACTTATGATTTTGAGTTATATATATGCACTAAATACTACTCACTTTCTTTCTTCCCTTATTTATAAATTGATTTCATTCAGTATAGTTTATTTGAAAGCATTCGAAACAATGTTAGCACTATAGGGCAATGTGCCAGTGATAGAATCAGTGAACAATGGTGGAATGAAAATTCCAATTATGAACAACTGAATCAGTTCATCCAACTAATTAAACAGAAGGAAATAGAAGAATCTTACACGATACTATTCAAACCACATTTGAGGACTTTCACCAAATCAATGGATAAAAATCAATATTATTTTAAAATATATATTCCACAGTTAGTCAAGATATTTACCTACTACGTACCGAAAATTTGGCCTTATTACCTACAGGTATAAAAATAATATTGAACACTTTGGATGTTTTCATTTTTCAGTGTACCTTATAATTTAAAAATATACACAACTGATTGAATAGATTGTGGATAACTACGACTTTTTTTATATATTCCGTCATGTTCATACATCATATTATTCTGCTGAGCTATAATGTATATCCAGTTTGTTAGTTACTATGTTCAACGTAGCTATGTAAGTTAAACTTTTCCGCATAAACTTTGTGGGACAATATAAGCATATGAGGTTTATTTATTGTCAACCTATAATTTTTGGACGACCTTTGAGCAACGCTAAAATGATATTGAAAATATCCACCTACTAACTAGGACTAAATGAGGGGTATAAAGTAGTGTGAGGAATTGTAATTATGATTTTCAGTTGATGGTTAGGGTTAGGAATTAGATTTAGAGTTTTCATCATGAACTGACATCAGCTATAATGCCAAAATAGTATTTAGTGTGTATGAATTTTCCGCTAAAATCCTAGACCTATTATCTTAAATCTGACTGGTCCGTCCACAAATTATAGTCTCGCCCCAATAGCCGTATGAAAGTCACAACTAAGTATTACCTACACCTTAATGAAGCTTTAGGAAGTTAGTCATATTGCCCTACTTGTAGATATCGTAAAATAAATTCAGTCATGATTTTCCCTTATTATAATGAGCAATCTCGTTCTTTGTTTTCAAGTGCTTGTTTAATTTTTCCATGACTCCTCATTTAATTCCTAAACATTTTACAACAGTACTACACTATACTTAAAGAAATATACATTTTGTATTATATTGTCAGGTTCCAAAATTATTATCAGTTTTTCCCTTAATTCTAGATGAACTGAGATTCCATCGGTCTAGAAAGAATATTTTAAATGAAACTTATTCTACAAGACAGCTATAATTTATTCTGGCTGCCTTATCTCTTAAGTTGTAGCAATCATCTATTGTCTTGAGTAAAATTTTTATGATAGGTTCAGTTGACAGTACATTCTGACAGTGTTTCGAGACATTACTTTTTCAGCTTATGCCATAGAAAATGATGACAACTACAGAATTTAATTACTTGACACTATGTGAAGTAGTCATGTAATCTATAACACTAATCAAATACTATAAACTAGGTCATATTCTATTAAATTCAATTGTTCAACACCACTGTGTTAGTTTGACAACAAGCTATAGATACCTAGACTTACTATAACCAAATAAGTCATGGACTCATGTAATGTAGAATATTTGGTGGAGTTTTGTTCTCTGAGCTAGATCATTTGGTCATGGAGAAATTCGAACACTTCTCTTCTTCCTGACTTTTGTGCTGATGGTATTGTTCAGAAGAACGATCATTCACCTCAGAACACATTAACTCCACCAAAATCATCCACTTGAGCTACAAACTTTCTCCATCTCAGTGTAGTATATTCATTTACTATAGTATTTACTAAACAGAATAAAAACAGATTGTCACTTCTCATTTATTTCATATGTATGCAAAGATAGTTTTGTTCGACCCAACAATTCCTTCGTTATGTTTTCATTGGTACATCAACTGTAACGAAGACCACTTAGATATTATTCTTGTCACTGTTATTATCGCTGTCATTGTAATCACATCACTACTACTAATATTTCTAAATGGTTCTAATTTTATCTCTTAGTCTAGTTTATGGACAATAATTCATAAATGTTTCTTACGATTGACCAAATTATAGATTATCTCGCTTATTCTGTTCTGAAATAAATTTTACTTGTCTATTTGTGAAATATTTTTAACTGTTTCTCAAGAAACTAAGTTTGAACAAATGATTTTCTGTAGTAACTTTTACCCCTGCTTTATAAAACTACTATGTAATGATAGTGTGAGGTATGTTTAATACGTCAGTTACATCTTATATTAAACTCTTTATATGGACAGTTGTTTTCTTAAGTGGTAGTCTGAACGTTTGGAAACCAGAAGGCACTAGCTGACGACTGGACAAAATTGCAAACTAACTAAAGTTGAAATTGAGATCAACTGGATATCAACTCAATACAATTGGTCAACAAGCTCTCCTCCAGATCTGAAGGTACTGGACTATTCCATTGTTGAGATGTATACTGATAAAGACATTCACACTAGGACAAAACCTATGACCAATACTTCGTGATTTTGAATGGTCGTCTAGCCAAAATAATAAGATGATGTATTTAGAAAGATAGTAGTAGTATTGATAAAGCGTTTGGTATGTGATCAGCACCATAGAAAGATGGACAGATAGATAGATATACAATTAGCTAGAACTGTTCACCATGTATATTACATTTCATCATTGAATATAGTAACATCATGTTTCTGTCTATAAATCAGTTTACCACCTATTGTGAATTCGCTAAGATTTTTATATTAAGAAAATTTTTTTTTAATTTCCTTTCTGAATATACTCGTTTAACTTTTCATATATTACTTAATTATTTTAATAATTACACAATTAAAACCATTTAAGTAGTATAACAATCTATATAAATGCTTGATGTATGGGGATTCCTTTTATCATTATTTTTTTTCTCTGATAGAAATTTTCCAAAAACGTTAGAATAAAATTTTAATTATCGATATTTTAAGTAGAATAAACTGACAACTTGTACATTATCCTTCATAAAATTGAAGTTGGTTTGAAATATTGTTCAATATTGCGAAATTCAATAGTTTGCATATTGAGTTGTTAAAATAAAATTGTTTGTTCTTTCACTTTTGACTGACTAAAGAATAATCATTGAAATAGAATTACAATGTAAAGTACGCGCATTTTAGTTGGATTAAAAAACAGGTGAGACTTTAACTTATGGACGATCTTTGAGCGATAAAGTGACCTTGACAGTGTTCACCTAATAACTAGGACTAAATGAGGGTTATCAACCATCGTGAGGAATTAGAATTATGATTTACAGTTGATGGCTAGGGTTAGAAACTAGATTTAGAGTTTTCATCACAAACTGACATCGGCTATAATGCCAAAATTTTATTTAGTCAAATGGATGGGTGAATTACGCGCCAAAATTTGAGACCTGTTATCTTACACTTAATTGGTCCGTCCACAAATTATAGTCTCGTCTAGTGTTATTCACTATGAAGTAGTAATTTGATAAAATTTTGTTAATAAGATGATTAGATTTAGTCTGTATCATAGTGTGTAACTGTTACTTTTTTTGCGATTATCCGTTCATTGGTTTATTTATTTTGAAATGCAACTATTGATTCATGTTTTCAAATTGCTTAGACCTCTCTTTTCTTTCTAAACCACACAGAGTTGATCCATTAGAAGATATAGTTTATTTTCAGAATGAATTAAACTTAAGACTGAATTATTCCTATGGACATTTGATTTGATGTGAGCTAGTAGTAGAATCCAAGACGTGCGGTTTGTACTATTTGAGACTCACTAACTGGATATACTTACATATCAGTGTTGGTGTTCACATTGAGACTCAAACCATGTACCTTTCGCTCCAACATACTACATTACCTAATAAGCTATCAAGTTCAGATAACTATTAGATTGCTCAAAGAATATAGTATTTACATTATTATTGATAATCCTTTAAATTATCCGGTTCTTCATATTCAAGACTGGACATATCTTCATCGTGAATAGAATGACTTTGAAAAAAAACAAATGAATGGATAATTAATTACTTAACTTCTTGATCTCAATCAATGACATAATAAACTCCACAGCCCTATACTGATAATAACCACATGCTCACTGATGACTAGCTTCGTGAGGTAATTCTCAGAGTTCTAGTGAGAAGCTGTGACCAGTGGAGCTAATCCATGTCGGGTGGAGACAGATATCTACCTCAGTACAATAGAAGATGGTCGCGCAATCTCGTGGATTGGTTAAAGTTAAACATTAACACCATTGGATGCTGGATCAATGGTCTAGTAGGTTGGGCTTTCACACGCGAAAAAGAAGGCCCTGGGTTAGAATCTTGCGAGCTGGATCGTGGATGCGCACTGCTGAGGTGTCTCACAATAGGAAGAAACAGCCATCCAGTGCTTCTAGGTTTTTAATAGTGGTGTAACATCAATCAGTTCTTGATTTGAATCAATAATATCATTTATAATTCAATGCTGTAAACATTTTTTTAAACTTTGAAACTCATTCTTGTTACTTTTATAAAATTAGCTAAAAGCTTCCTTCCATAAGGAACAGTTTATTGACTGTATTGTTTCATTCATCTCCTTACCATAACATATAACTCTATCATATAATCATATATTTATTTAATGTCAAATATAACCGCTCTTTTTTAATCTTATTTTCATACATTTTCTTCTTTCAATATTCATATTAGATCTTAGAAGAACAATCAAAAATGAAATCACAAGTAAATCAACTAACAACAGAATCTAACAATTTTGTATAAACAATATTTCTTTTTCTATTATAAATATCATAATGGAATGCTTTTTTCTTGTTCCTTAATCCTAATGATAAATAATAAATTCATACTACTGTTATATACATAATACAAAAAAGAATTGGCAAAATATTTGTGAACTTATGACCATGTCTTTTGTTTTGTTTTGAAGTTTCTTTTATTTGATGAATAAAATAAATGATGAAAGACGATTGACGAAAACACATAGAAATCATTAAATTGAATTGAAATTATGAATCAACCTAATTAAACAATCATTGAAAATATGAAAGTACTGGACGGTTGTTCCGTTAGTTTCTGAAATTCTAGTGAAAAACTAAGACTAATAAAGTTGAACTGTATCGAGTCTGATGTAACTATCAACTGAAGGTAATGGAAGATGGTTGTGTAATGCCATGGATTGATGCCCTGGTACGGCCGAGAGTAGGGAGATTCAGCTCTCACATGGCCACGTAAATACAACCACTACCAAAGAAGTTCTACTCACTGCCTCTTCGTGGCTGGGGTGTCGTTTACGAAATTGAGAGGATGAAAAGTGTTATAACTTGCGGACCTGTGTGCCCTGTATATCGGATAATGCAACGATACCGCCAATCAGAGAGCAGCGAATTATCTATCGAACCAGTGATGCATAAAACATTTACGAACAGTCTAGAGTCTTTATTGGTCTTCCATCCCATCTAGCCCAGCCAGTTAAGTCCAGAACACCAATCTCAGCCTCTGCAACATGAATCATTTATTTCAAACGTACTCGGTTTTTATATCAACCAGACAGACCACAACGTACCACAAAATATGAAACAACATTTGTACAATATTTAGCCAAAAGTGGCTGTGAATGAGAGAGATAGTAATTAATAGACAGGCCATAACTCAAGAATGGTAAATCGTATAATAACAGTTCATAGGTCAGAATAAAACTTATAATAAGAGGGACATGAATATGAACAGTTTAGTTACATAACAATTATACGATAAAAATATACTCATAGTATAGGTCCATAAATGGATCCCAAGAATCACTATTCATTATTCTTATCGGGATATAACAAAAAGCGAATGTTCGGCACTTTAACTGGGTTGGTGGACATGGAGAGCCCACCTAGGGGAGTTGGAAAATTCTGATTCCAAACCAATGGTGTACATGGGCTCCAGTATCCTGAAGGAACAAATGGCGTATGAACTCATTGTTGGTCACCGGCTATCATAGAACTGCATCTCCTTACGTTGCTGCACTGCCTCGTGGATCAAACCTTTGTATCGGAGGCTCCGAGTGTGACCCCCTAAGTAAACCACCTACTTCGATCTGGGCACACAGGCAGTATCACAGCACTCACACATATCAAATGAGATCTGTGTGGCGCATATGTATTTGGTGCCTCCTTGTACCAATGTTTATGTGTTTAAATAAATAAATAATGAATATCAACACCATTGGATGCCGACACATTGGTCTAGGTGTTAAACGTCAGTGTGTAAAACGTAAGTTCCCTAGTTCGATTCCCGGATGTGCAGTTGTCAATATACACACCTGAGAAGTACTACACTAAACCGAAACGGCTGTCTAGGGCTTCCAGATTTTCACTGGTGGTCTAATTTATATCGGTCCATGATTGCAATGAAATTCAACGATCTCCACAACCCTAACTGACAACAAATAAATTAGCTTGAAAAGAAGAAAATAAAAAGCATGAGACACTACAATGATACATTTTACTGATTAACTATTTACGTAAATAGAAATTTTGTATAATTATCATATTAATTTGTTGACAGCATTGTTACCGAGTCAGTAACAATAAGTGGCACATAAGACAGTTATAAATGCTATATAGTTGATATTTTGTATATTTAGTCTACCACTGATGAAAATAATCAACAATTGATAATTCAAATATTTGGCTTATTTCTGATTTATACCTATTAATTACATTTTCAATAATGTACGATTGCTTTATTAGAAATGTGGATGAAATTCACTTTTAAAAATGATGTCATAAAATCTTTGAGAATATAGTTAACATAAATTATAAGATAAAAGAAATCGACTAATTAGGAACTTTGATATTTAAGGATGCCTAGAATTTGTTTAAAAGTTCACATTTGGTTGATGATTTGTTTAATCTAAACCTCTTAACTGGAAATTAATGTTTAAAAGATAATGCGCTAACTAAGAGACTTGAAGGTTCTATGTCCAATCTATGGAGCTAAAATGGTGGTACACAGCTAAGTACTTTCATATTAAAAGGAAAGCTTTGTCTGCTTCTCTACGGTTTTCATTAACAACCTTACTGACGTCATCCAACGACGAAAATTAACTAAGAACCCATCCATATTTCATTATGCTGACATTCGTTAAAGGTTAACTGCAATAACAAGATGAATGATCTATTTAAGAAGTGAATTTTCACTTTCACAACTAAAGAAAACTTATAAAGAAATTGAAAGTTATTATTAGAATGGAGGTTTGTGGAGATTGTAGTAATTTTTTAACGGTTGAATTCACTAGTCAATTTAAGCCAGACTATTATTAGAAATCTCGAAGCACTGAACGTCCATTACATCCTAGTATGAGACTCCTCAGCAGTTTGTACCCACGATTCTTCAGGCGGACGCTTAACCTCTAGACCACTGAGCCAACATCTAACGATGTTAACGTCTAACTTCAATCGATTCATGGTCTTGCGCAACCATTCATCGATTGTCCGAGGTAAATACCTGTCTCTAACTGACGCGGATTGGACTCCGTAAGTCACGGCATCTCACTAGAACTCCAGGAAATCCATATTGATGCCAGTCACTAGTGAGTACATTATTTAAAGTTATTTCTTTTCTTTATTTAAAAAACTTTAATCTCATTCATGATATAATGCAACAGTTTTAGTATTTGTATTTATCCAGTAATTAGGTGCTTATCCACTTTTAATCATTAACAATGAACACGAAAGTGTACACACAATACTTTCTCACAAATCCAAACCATTAGTAACTATTAACCATAAAGTACACACTGATATGATTGTAAAATATTTAGAATTTCAACATGAAATTGATGTCAACATTTCATATGAACACTAACAATATCAAACAATATAAATCACAGAAATAACCACAACAAAATGGTTTGTTGAGCACAGTCACTTCAATAAATTAAATTTCATTCACCATCTAATTTATGTTACTAGAAACTGTTTTGGAATACATAAATGAACTTCTAGAACAAGCATTATAAGTTTTTCAGATAATCAGTTTAAAGATGATTTTTATTAGCTGTAAGACTAAAACTCTATCTGATCAGATATATAAGTTATTTTGATTCTGATTGATCGGAAGACTATAATAACTGTGCTGATGGATAAGTTCTGCAGTTTAATGAAATGATTTTGTTGAAATTATATGCCTATTGATGGTATTTTTAATAGTGAAGCTTGTATAAACAATACCATCAATACAAAATCCACATATAAATAATAAATTTTTTTAACATTAAACCTGTTCTGTTATTATCTACAAATTATCTTTACCCCTAAACCAAATTCTTGGTCTTTCTTGATTTTTCTAAGTGTTTATTAAATCCTACTTAAAATTTACAAGTGAAAATGTAAAATTTGAAAAAATATGTGTACTATTTGATTCATAGATCAATTTAATAATATGTTAAATAGAGCAAGAACAAAGATTGGTGCAGAATAATATGAATTCATTTTATTTCGTTAGGTTCTCATCAGCTACTTACAACCTAAATTATTTGAAAATTCAAATTATTACAGATATTGACAGTGCTATCGCAAGACATCTCCTTGATACAGGACATAAAGCTGATATATTGAAGTCCTTCAAGGTGATTAACAAACAATCAAACTCGAACCTTTTGAAATTCGCTGAAGCGTTAGCAATCAAACGCTTAAAACCAGACCTATGTATACAAAAAGAGACAGTAATAAATCTTTCTTTACCCTGGTAACAATAACCCCCACTCTTCCTATTAATTTGCTCCTATTTATTTATTTATTACGTCATTATTGCAACTCTTTTTGAAATATAAATTACATCATACATAACTGATTGATTTCAATTCATATTTTCTTTATTACCATTAATCTATTTTCATGAGTTCTAATCACTATTTCAATGTTCTGGAACTTTCCCTCTCAAACTTTATTTATTTATTCGAATCAAACATTTTATGAGCTCATTAACTCGATCTGAATCTTTGCTACATCATCATACACATGTATTGATCCTTAATCACACTCTTATATATAAATATGTCAATATCTGTATTAATGTTGAATTTTAAATAATTTAGGTTGTAAGCAGCTGATGAGAACCTAACGAAATAAAATGAATTCATATTATTCTGCACCAATCTTTGTTCTTGCTCTCTTTAAAATAATAAAGGGAACTATGTGTATGAAATTAATAATATGTGTATTGACTTGATTGTAAAAGTAGTTTATAAATTTTTGTTTTAATTTTTATGGTTACTGAGAGTAAAAATAGGCAAATAGGCATACAAACATTTACATGTATATGAAAATTTACATGGATAAAAGTTAATAATTAACCAAAATGATTAAAACAAAAGTTAAAAATGACATATTTACTTGTCATGTTTTTCACTGTGAGTTCATTCAGTTGTTTTTTTCTTCAATATTTAATAATTTTTGTAGTAGACGGCATTTTCCGACGTTTTTATTTAAGTTCATTTTGTATTGTTTACTTGAATCTTCTTATTGTTGTTTAGGACTGCAATTGATCAGTCTCTTATCGGCATATGTGCATTCTGTACAGATTTCCTCAATATTGTCTCAAGCCACAAACATTCTAAGCAAAGATCAATTGTAGTCCTAAACATCGATGGGAAGATTCAAATAAACAATACAAAATCAATTGGAACTTCACCCCATTTCACAAGTTAGTAGCTATCAGGACTTGGTAGCTGAGTGGATAAAACGATGGTGTTTAAAGAGAACGGTACTGAGTTCGAGTCCTGCGGTGAATATCAACTCTGTCATGCCGGTACATCCAGCTGACAGGTCCCAAATAGAAAAAAACATAAGTCCTGAATTCCACTACTAGCCATCGTCTATTTCCCAGTTAATTTGATGGGTGAGTGGGGAGT